AAGTTTGTAAGCTTCTGATATGGTCAGAAGTCTTTTGCAGGTGAGAACTACTCAGAACAGCCAATGGAAAAATAGTTGTGTATTTACTGTTATATAATAATAAACTTTATTTATATAGCAATTTTCAAAACAGGGTTACAAAGTGCTGTACAGATTCAAAGAGAAGTGTAAGAACAACATTAAAGGAAGTGAAAAGCCAAAAATACATAAATAAATAAATGGTGAAGGTGAAGCACATAAAGCATGAAAGACAATAAAACTATATAAAAATATCTAAGAAAAATAAAACCCAGTAAAAGAAGACAATTAAAAGGCAATAAAGGAATAAAACAGTTAGAAGGTAAAATGTCCTGCCCTTAATACTGCCATCAAACGGAGTAAAAGTCCACAAACAGCTCCTGTAAAAGCACATCAGTAAAAATGTGTTTTTAAAAGAGTTTTAAAGGAGGATGAAGTGTCTGCAGATCTGATCTCCTCAGACAGGCTGGTCCAGAGGCTGGGGGCTCTTACAGAAAAGGTCCGGTCACCTTTGGTCCTCAGCCTCGAATGTGAAAAATTTTAGAGAGGGTGTCGATTGAAACAGCGTTAAAAGACTCCAGGTGAGCAGGAGCTTTAAAAGAATCAGTTGTTTCATGAGTAGACAGAGGAATGTGCATCCTGATGCTGGAAACTTTGTTCTCAAAGAAATGTAAAAATTCCTCACATTTCTCTGGAGAAGAGTCCATAAGACCAGTCGTAGGGGCTTCAGTGACATGATTAATTACATTGAACAGAGTCCTTGAATTATGTCTGTTTTTCTCAGTCAGCTCAGAAAAATAGTTTGCTCTTGCGTTTCTCACCTCTGAATTAAAACTTTTCATTCGTTCCTTTAATATTTGGTGGTGCACTGTGAGCTTGGAGGCTTTCCGCTCTGCGACACTCCCTCTTCAGGGTGCGTATCTTGTCAGAGAGCCATGGCCTGGCAGCAATGGACGGCCTTTTCTGTTTAAAAGGAGCGATTTGGTCAAGGATTGCTGAACAGGTTGTGTTAAAGTTATTAAGGATTGCATCCACATCTTCATAAGAGTTGATTTTAAGAGAAGTGGATGTGAAAGCATCTATAAATTTGGATGCAGAGTTAAAAACACGAGAGCAGACATAGTTTGGGTTGTTTTTGGGTTGCTTGCACTTGACCTCTGAGATGAACATGATGCACTTGTGGTCTGAGACAATGAAATCTTTACATGACTCATTGTCCAGTAGAATACCAGTGAGTGAGAATAAGGTCGAGGGTTTGGCCTTTGTTATGGGTAGGCCCAGTGATCATTCTACCTAAGGTAAAAGACTCTAAAATGGTTAAAAACTCATTAGCTAAATGGTTGTCATGGCAACAGACATGAATATTAAAGTCTCCTACAAACAGAATGCGGTCATAGTCTGGAATAACGAGAGAAAGCAACTCAGAGAACTGATGGAGAAAACCAGACACAGATTTAGGGGGTCTGTATATTAAAATGCCCAGAATCTTAAGGTCCCCTTTAATATAAAAACACAATGACTCAAATGAGGAAAAGTTACCCACAGATACTATTGAACAGTTGCAGTCATTGTTATAAATTACAGCAAGTACTCCCCCTCTGCCAGATGATCTGGGATGATTTAAAAAAGAGAAGTTAGGGGGGAAGGTTCAATAAGAGGGGCAGAGTCACCTGCGTTTAGCCATGTTTCAGTTAACATGAAGAAGTCAAACCTACTGGATGTGATGAAACCCTGGCAAATGAAAGACTTGTTTGAAAGAGACCTGATATTAAGCAGACCAAAGTTAACAGTACGTCCAGTGATAGGAGTTTGACTTACAGCAACTATAGATGACGTGAGTTGTGACAGTTTACAGGATATGCAGTTTTTTTCTGTTAAACCCATTAGAAGAACAGACAACGGGGCACCTGGTATGTGAACAGGTATGTAACCACCAGGTGCATTCACAGGCTCAGCGGGTTGGGGAGCATCTGACTGAGACATGGGACCATGAGACAGAACAACAGATTCCAAGAGATCAGAGGTAGAGAGATGACACACAGCAGGGTTGGATTGATAATCAGGAGGCAGAGGTCTGAGAGCGCGCGGCCCCTCAACGCGTCAATCAGAGGCGCACCTGTCGGAACAGGTGTGCGGCTGCAGCGTGGTGTCTCTGACCAAACGAGGTGAGCAAGAGGAGATGGAGTAAAAGAGGTTTGCAGCCAGCATTCGTGACCCTGCCCGATTTGGATGAAGTCCATCACGTTTAAAAAACGAAGCGCGCTCCCAGAACAAGTTAAAACTGTCAATAAAACCAAGTCCGAAGCTGCGGCGCTGTGATTGAAACCACACGTGGATTTGGAGCAGTCTGGAGGAACGACCACAGCCACGGTCGACAGAGGGGAGCGGCCCAGAGATAAAAACCTCTCTCTCAGTGCGCTGAAGGTAGTTGAACAGACGCTTAAAATCCTCCTTTAAAAGCTCCGACTGCTGCCGCGGAATGTCATTGGTGCCAACATGTGGCACTACTTTCCTCGCGGAGGGAAACTGGGCCATAAGACTTCAGTCAGAATGTCGTTTACCTTGGCTCCAGGAAAGCAGTGAGTGACAGCCTTACTGGACCTGACGTCCCTGATGATGGAGTCTCCCACGATCAGAACTGAAGGCAGCTGTGGAGCGGGTCCGGTGGAGGACTGCCGGTGATGCGCCTTCCTCGCTGGCTGGGGGCTCCCTCCCGGAGCAGAGCGCACGGTGCCGGGGTGAGTGCGGTCCGCGGACAGCCCAGCATCGACAAGGTGTCGGTCAACTGCCTCCTTCAGCAGCCGTCGTCGTGAAGAAGAGGCCTCCTGTCGGGATCCGGGCTGGGTTGAGACCAGCGTCCAGGATTAGATGCGCCGGGCAGCGGTGGAAAGTCTCTCCTGTCCCGGATATCAAATCCATTCACCGGCGGGTCGTGAGGAGGATGGAGGGCAGCTCGCTGTGGCAGGCTGCACCGGTGACGTTGGAGACATCAGCTTCTCCAGAGCTTTAAACCTTTTTCCCAGCTGGAGAGAGTCTTGGGAGAGCGGAGGTGGTGGCTCTTTACTCCGCCAGGACTTGCTGCTCTTAGCCTGGACCCAAGACTCGGGGACGGACGGGGTCGAGCAAGCAGGACTCTTTGGCTTAACTCCCTGGCAAGACCGCCGCCCTTCTGGACCACGGGATCGTGGTGTCGTTGTGTCTGGGGGACAGGACGGGCTGGTGCTACCTGCGTGACTCAGGAGGGAAAGGTGCTTGGACTGAGCCGTGGCTACAGACGATAGCTCCAGGATTAGCTCGTCCCTTTCTTTGAGTGCGTCTTGTCAGCGGGAGACGTCGGCCTTCAGCTGGGTTAAGGTAGGATTACAGTCCACACACAGAACCAGGGCGGGTGACTGAGCTTTGACTTGGCTTATGGCTGTGCGTCCTGAGTGAATGCGTGCTGCAGGAATTAGCCGGAGCCCGGTGGAGGCCGGATGTGTCGCCGCAGCTTAACGTTGTTATGACGTGAAGCACGGTGGTGGCAGCATCATGATGTGACAATGGGCTAAAAACTTGTCAAAAAATTTACTTAGAAGTTGTCCAAAATGACTCGAAACCACATTAATACCTGCTAGCTAAACCTTCCCCAATGCTCTCAGTTTGCCAAGATAAACTTCCTGTCCGCTAACGTGAACTTCCTGTCCGCCAACGTGAACTTCCTGTCCGCCAACGTGAACTTCCTGTCCGCCAACGTGAACTTCCTGTCCGCCAACGTGAGCTTGAATATCTTACATAAGTCATCGCTCTCTTTTAGAAAGAAATATGAAAGAAATGAAAAATACTTTATTTATCTCAGAAGGGAAATTCAATATTGCAACAGCTCACTTTAAAAAAAACAAACAAACAATATAACATATATTTTATACAACAATAATAATAATAATCATTCAGTCAGTCAGTCAATTGTCAGTCAGTCAGATTTGTTTTTCAAGGTGATGGCTGTTGGCAGGAATGAATTTCTGTATCTCTCCGTTCTACAGTGAAACTGATGCAGCCTCCCAGATGTGGGATATATATATGTATATATATATACCTCCCAAATATGCCAGACAAATTCTACTTTTCTTCCTACGACAAATAGATAAAATGCAAAACCACGTAGCCCTGGTCAGTGTTTCATGTTTCATTTTTTTCAGGTCATTAGAGTCAAAGTGTTTCCTGCCAGTGTGTGTCTATCTTTTACTTTACATAATGTCTACAGTCACTACATAATGTGTACAGTGTGTGCTCTTACACTGTATGCATTTTAGAATAAATGAGCTGAAGCAGGAAAAGGTGCCTCCTAGAGAACTGAATTTTTAATGTTCAAAGTGGCACAAGTGTGGCACACCTGGCTGCTGAACCTGCAGGTATGTCAGATGCTCCAGCTAAGCCTCGTTCTTTTCAGGACCCAAACTTAACCTGAGTAATCCCTCGCCAAAACTGGGTCAAATCACAAATCAAATGGGTTTTAGAGGTGCAAGGTTTGCATGAGGTGTGTTTGGTGGATTTCCCGTGGTGTGAGGTAATATCAATGTTAACAGGAACAGCTCCGTAATCTGCCTTTTGACTGTCACGTCAACTCAGAGTGCACCAACAACAAAAAAAGAGAGACAAATAGTAGTTACTGAATGTAACTCCTGTTCTTTAAACACATAGCAAATACAATAATGAAGGTTTGTTTGCTTAGCCTGTATGTCGAGTTTAACCGGGTTGAAGACTGACGACTCAACGAGGACCTGAAGAGGGCTTACTGTCCTCTTTAAGGTTCGAGAGAAAACTTCAATTTATTCCTCAAATGAAGTAGTGCTAATATAGTTCGATGTGCATATGATGACGACACTGAATTCTACTGTGTGCGTCTATAGTTTTGTGTTCTTAGCCAGAAAGGAGCTGATTATTTAAATGTAATTTCACAGACTGCTTCCTGGAAAGGCCAATGTATATTAGTGCTCATTATGGGGAAAATGAACACAGTATTCAGTTCCAGTTAATTAATTCCAGTTAATTGCTTGTGTAACCCAGTGAGTCTTTTAGTCGGTGCACAGTAGGTCTGCAGAACATGTAAATGTCTGCAGGCAAGCACACAATTCAATGAAAGATTCCCTGTAATAGAAAATCTCCGCTTAAAGACTAAATGGACGAATCCTACAAAGCACTGAATCAAAGCTCAACGTATTCAACTGAGAATTAGGACGTTTGCGTGTAACGTGAAGTGTTACCTATGTGATATGTCAGCTATCGATTTAAAGACGAGTCCAGTCACGATGTGCTAATATTTCAGTTACATCAGCGTGAATCAGTGAGCTACCCTGTCACTCAAACATTTCACATACAACCATGCATCAGAGCCTATACACAATGCAAGAATACATTTTCACTTCACATGCGACAACATTCTCCATCTCTCTCTTGGATCATTTGACAGTGGTGAGAGCCAGCCCAGCTGAGGCTGTGTGTGGATCGCTGGCTGTTTTACACCTCTGTGCACAATGTTTTAATGACGAGCATTCAGCCGGTGGAGAGTTACCCGTTAACTGTGCTTAGAAAAAGAGCAGCAGCAGCTCCCAGGGCCGAACGTCCCAACGAGCCGAAGGACAAAGTTGGTCCCGAACAGACGCTTCACACACAGGAAGCAGAAGTCCAGGATAGAGGCTCCAGCAGCAGGATCAGCATGATTCCAGCTCTGGATGGTGGACGGTTGAGAGTGTGTGTTTTGATTTCCAGGCAATATTTAGTTTTCCTCGCAGCAGATGGTGCTTTATGTTGACGCTCCGGTGGAAGTATGTTTTCTTTTAAAATTGACATTTTCAAATGTCAGCTTCGGTTTGGCCACATTCATACCAGAAACTTGTGTTCTTGGGAAGTTTGCGTCGTGTTTTTGCTTTGTTGGTGAGAGAATATGTGTGTCTTTACAACTTCTCCAAGTCTGTCACTTTGCATTTCACTGTTATGTGCAACTTCAAAGTAGAACAGACATTCATCCATCCATTAAATATACCTGCTTCATCCTGTGGAGGCTCGCAGAGGGCTGGAGCTGACCACAGCTGAGACCCGGGGAAGGAAATCGCTGAGTTGATGGAGACGGACCACCATGCACACTCACACTTACACCTAAAGCCAATTTAGAATGACCAGCTCTTCTACCGTGCATGTCTTTGGACTGTGGGATTGAGCCAGAGAAAACTCACATTGGCGCAATTTCCATAAAAGCCTCAGTCGAAAAGCAGATTCAAGCCCAGAAAGTGGTCATTTTTACAGCTCATCCAGCTCGTGTGTAGACTCAGTCCTCGCTCTTTCTGCTTTTCAATAATTTCAGTATAAGCAAGTGCATATTTGATAACTCCGACGTGCCAACGTGGTCTGTTTTGTCGTCATAGTTTGAAGTACACAAAGAAAGTCAACAAGGTGGCGTAGAAACCCCACCGTTAACTGTTAACTAGAGTTTTCATGGAGACAGACACACAAGTGTAAATTCTCACCACCTTTCTAGGCAGTGACACAAGTTTAATGTTGATTTGGGGCGAATATCCGGAGAACATAAATTGCTATTCGGACCAGCCCTATGAGTCACTTGTTTGTTCTAAACCATACAGTAATATTTAATTTGTTTGTATCAGATCACTAGTTTTATAGAAAATGAAACATTGGATGATTTATTATTATTATTATTATTATTATTATTTTATTTATTTTTTATCCTTAACCAAGAGTTACTCGTGTAAACCTGCCAACACATCCACCTTTACCTATTCTTAAAAAACTGTGTGCTTGTAAAAACTTTCTGGAGTCTTTGCTCATCAGTTTCTCCTCCTCTGTGGATTCCTCCGGTGTTTAACTCCGAACGTAGTCGTCCTGATTTCCCCTCAGCGGCCGACGTGCTTTTATCTTTCGATCATTTCCCGCTGACTCTGGTTTGTCCTGCAGAGGTAATAACTTCACTGGAGAGCCACGGCGATCACATGGGGACTCGGGCGCTGGTTCCGCTCTGTTTCCATGGTAACGGTGTTAGGCCACGAACCAGGCCGGAGGAAACAAACCCCTTTTTATTCTTTTGTGGTGCCGTTTAGCATCGTTTTGGGCTCTGGTGAAGGACGTCGCTGCTGGAAAAATGAGCACGTTAACTGACACCTCTGACTTTATCGTCACTGTAACACAAACTAATAAATGGTAACATGCATGCGTTTATACGTAGGTATTTTAAGCAGCTTTGTGTTGGGATTTAAAGCTAATTAATTATCGTTTGGAGTGGTAGGAAACTTAATGTGGTACTTGTTTAGTGTTTGTAAATGTATTTGTATTTTAACTAGCATGTCTTGGTAAAAGTTTCCCTTTATATTATTTCACTTTTCTTCCTAAAAATGCATTGATGCACCTTAAAAATAAAATGAGAAAAGTTAAAACTAACGAAGAGAAAAAATCTCTGTCATAGAAAACCTGTAATTGCTGCTGGTTCTGCAGAGATACAGTGAATGTTGTGACACTGAAAAATATACTTCTTCGTGTCAATCAGCCGGATAGATTGCACGAAACTTTCTCTGTTGATTGGCTTCACTGTAACCAGGATTCACTAGCTCAGTGATTTGCCTGTCACTGACAGAGGACATGTTCTACGACATGAACACACTCCCAGTATGTGGAGAAACTTTGAATGAAAGCGTCAAAACAACAGTTTTTATTTTTTTTTGTTCTTTGTTCTCTTTGATGACCAATTTCTTGCTCAATCTCTCAATTTCACCCCCAGAGGAGATTTAAATATAATTAAGGCATGAGAAAAGAAAAGGGAGCGGAGAAGAGAATGGAACGAGCAGAATGGAAATGAGGATAAAGAAAGAAAATGACGCTGAAGGGGGAAGAGAGCTCGGCAGGAGGTGAGAGCAGGAGAAGCAGCAGCATGTTGACTCCAGCCCTCTCATTACAAAGGTCATTAGTGGTTCCTCTCCTCCGGGTGCTGATTAATAACATCGTTTAGATCAAAAGGCCGTTTAACTCCAGACCTCTGAATTATAGTTTAGAGGAAATACGAGAGAGAGGCGTAGAGTCATGAGGCGTCTCTCTCACTGCGCTGAACAGAACTGAATAAAAACGCTTTTATCTTCAAACAATCAGTTTTGCAAAAGTCTGCAGCTACGTGATTATAAAACTATGTTT